CTTGTAGAATAAAGTTATGTTGAACTAGTAAAAAGATTATGCGAAGAAAAAAAAAGTTTATGCCTTTTTCTTTTTACAGCCACTTCAGGAGGCTGTCCAGGTGGTTGGAAAGCCACCTAAGGCCCCGGACAGAGTTCACGCGATTTGATCGTCGCGACTGAATCGCGGCGAGACAACTGTTACAACATCATTCCATGCCGATCAACTTGCATTTCGGTTGTGATACTTTTCCAGCCCGATATTTTTGAATGTGAAATGAAAATGAATGGAAATGTCGGCGATTAAGTCGCGACGATCAAATCGCGTGAAGTCTGTCCGGGGCCTAACTCCGAAAAAAGTTTGCCACGCCTTCAGTTCTCATAACTTTTTTATATTTTTTTGCACATAGTCCTAAATCCCTATTGCCCATCTACGCACCAACTTTGGTGTCATTTGATTTTCTCTTAGCTGTAAACAAGGCTTTTGTTTATTTAGGGCAGGCTTTTTGATTTCGCGCGCTTAACCGACGAAGCTGTTGAAACAGAAAATTTTTGTTTTTGTAGAAATGGGATTGATAAGGCAGGTATGACAATCTGCGTCCTCTGTAGAAGTGAAAGGTGACATCAGAGGTAGAAGGTGATTGTGAGGGAGTGAGGGGGTGGAGGGGGGGGGGAGGGAAAGACTTTCCGCTCAAACGATATCCCCTTTGCCTTTTACCCTAAAACGATATCCAGCTTGCCCCGCAAGCCACCTGTGCCGAGCCCTGCCCAAATTCTACCTTCCTTACTTGCAGAACGCCTATGTAGGCGAAGTTGTGAGCAGTTTTATTGCGAAAAAGGTCCAGAAAAACTGCGAAATTAAGCTTATTATTGTCCCTTTGAGCTCATTTTTATGTATGGGCCATTTGAAGTAACCTAAGTGGACGTTTTGATTCAAAATTAAGCCGAACATGGCTCTGCACGGCCAAATTTGTCCTCTACACGCACAATTTTTTAGCAAAATGATGGCTTTCAATGGCGAATTACTTTATCCACAAAAGTGTTCTGCAGATAAGGAAGACAGATTTCGAGTCAGCGTTGTATGCTGCATCTAATGTTATGCAGTTTGCTCAAATTGGCCACTTCGAATTTTGAGCATTCCCTTGTAAGAGTTGCTTCATAATGCAGTCGCTGCGGCAGCTGCAGTCATACTGGGGCGGGCTGAAGATATCGGTTGATCGACTGTCGTTGCTGCAGCGTCGGCAGTACGAAGAAACTCTAAGAAACTGAGAAGAGATAAGCTTATGGTGGCACTGTCCCTTTGATGCGACCCTAGGTTGTTCCAAAAGTAATATCTACTGCGTGACGAAGGCGGTTGCCCAAATAGACTGAAGGTTGTCGCGCACGCAGCGCGCGGGCAATTGTCAGCCATGTAGCGCGCGCACGCTCGGTCAGCGGCTGGCTGTCGTGCCGCAGCGCTCCGTGGATGACCGCTGAGCGAGCGTGTGCACGCTCCGTGGCTGATAATTGCCCGCGCGCCGCGTGCGCGACAACCTTCAGTCTATATGGGCAACCGCCTTCGTCACGCAGTAGATATTAAACTCCTTTCTGAATAATTCAAGCTGTTTTTGATTTCCTAGTATGTTTAAGGTGTCATTCGATAGACCAGATCAGGCTCTACAAAATGACCGCCAAGGCTTCGCCTAATTCGCATTCCATGTAAAGTTTGAAGCCAAAATCGAAAAAAATTTTCTCGCCTGAAAATTAGATTTCTGCGATAAACAATCCTACAGAACTCCAACTTGGTTATTTTACAGTAGGCACATAGTAATACTCAAATATGCCTTTACCGAATTTTTTCGGAGCATAGAAACCGAGCAACATAAATTGTCCAAAAATGGCAAACTCCGCCTTCAGCCCCTTCCACATGTGTCATTGTATACTACAAACCTTACTAACAAGGAGAGGATACATCGAAAGCACCAATCCAGATGAGACACATATCATCCTAAAACCCTTGAAACGCTGATTATAAATCTGTAGTTTTTAGCAGCGGAGCGGTTTTGTAGAAGGAGTTATAAGGGGTGTATCCTTTTGGGGTTGAGGCGCCCTCCAACAGGTTTCCCCTTATTTATGAGCACTGTAGAGGAGTACCAACTGGTGGCAAGTGGCCTGATGGTAAGTGAATTGCTTGATAAAGAGAGTGTCAAGGTTTAATCCCCTTCGCTTGCAACTTTATCGCAATTTTTGAGCTTTCAAATGGCTCTAGAGCCCTAAAGCCTGAAATTTCGGATGATATTGATGCTAATTGAAATTGGAAGTGTTAAAAAATCAAAGTAATACGAGTATTATAATCCTTAATGTAATCTTCATTCAAATTACTTACCACTAGCCAGTTTCTACCTGTTGGTTCCAGTAGGGTAAGGGGAGACCTGCTGGAGGGCGCCTTAACCCCAAAGGGAAACACCCCTCATAACTCCTTCTACAAAACCGCTCCGCTGCTATATACTACAGATTTGGAATCAGCGTTTTAAGCGCTTTAAGATGATATGTGTCTCAACTGGAATGTTGTGTTTTCGACTAAGTATCCTCTTCTTGTAAGTATGATTTCAAAGCCTTACCCCTGTATGTGCTCCTATAATAGAGGAATGCCAATTACATAAAAAAACCCGAAAATAGTGGCATTTTGGGACCCTTAATTTCTCAATTTTGAGCCCTGGAAAAAATCCACCAAATACATTTTTGGATACTACTATGTGTCTACTATATAAGTATCAAGTTGGAAGTCCGTAGGAATTTTCTGGAAAGAGATCCGATTTTTAGGGTAGCTGAAAAATTTTGATTTTTGGCTCCAAATTTTACCTGGGTTACGAATTAGGTGGATCTTTGGTAGTCTTTTTGTAGAGCTTGCTCCGCTCTACCGAATGATATCCTAAATCTATCAAAAAACCGAAAACAGCTCAGGTTATTTGAAATTGGAGTTTACTTTTGGGACAACCTAATAGTAACAGTTTTAAGCTTGCCATTATTCTTCAGAAAGGTTTTAAAATCAGTAGTTGTTTACAAATGATTAGTGATGGTCAAAATAACGCTGTGGGTTCCAAAGCCGTCATCAAGCAAACACGACGGAGTTATTCAGGTAGTGAAACCAGTGCGAGTTTCCGCAAAAAGAGATGACGCTCTGGTATCGCAATAATGTTCTTATTAGAGACATGCTTAGCTCTGTTGCAGGTAATCTATACAGCTTTGGATGGTTGACCACCACGGATCATCAAGGAATCATATAAAAAGCTGTAAAAATGTAAAAATGGAAAATGCGGCTTGTACAGCTGCTCGCTCCTGTTTTATATATTTGTAGTAAAGAATAATAAAAACACTTGCGGACAGCGAGACCGCGTAAATTCCAGGAATGATATCCACGAAAGTCCAAATGGACGAAAATAGACTTCCAAACCCCATTTTATTCGTTCGCGGTAGAAATTGGTCAGAATCTGCTTTCGCTAGCGTTATCCAAAAATTTTCATCTCATCGCAATCACGAGGCAAAGCGGTGTGATGAAAATGATTTAACCCTACCTGAGCTCCCGTTTGCGAAAGAATCATGCGAAAAGTCCATACAGAATAGGGCAAAATGGGATTTACCTCCATTTTAAATGGACTTGAAAGCCCATTTCACGCCCAGCAGCAAGGTGAGCTGGGAATAAGCCCATTTTTCACCTTTTTTGCATATTTTTGATTGCGATTTTGTGAGAATGTGTCCCTTAGCCCAATCTAAGGTAACAAGTGAGTGGAAAATCTTTCATATCTTTTATGTAGTCTGAAATAAGTATTGCTTTTTAAACTCATACATAGCGCATTAAAAACCATGAAAGAAGGTCAAGTTCACCAAAATATTCGCTAACAAACTCAAATGTTTCAAATATCAGGTCGATGCGAAAGTTCCTATGTAGATCAAATAAAGTTTGTTACTTCAAATCATCAACCAAACTAGATTCATGATGAAAAAAAGACTTGCGTTTCAATATAATTACTCAGAAGCTATCTATATGACTAATCTCGCAGAACCGAATCTCAAAGACGGCATACCAAACGCAATTTTGAGTTTGGTCTCAAGAATTACGGAAATGGCCCTAGCTAGCAGGAATATTTCTGTGAAGAATTTCCTGCTGGCAATAGCCCATACATTTAATTACTTGGAGATATGAACATTAGTGCTGAGAGACAAAGAAGAGCAAAAGTAGAAAATTTTTGAAGTCATTTCTTGCAGATTCGTAGTTTTTCCGATTTAACGCTTTGGGTCGTAGTGTAGTACAAGGTTTCCTATAAGATAAGCATTTTGATTTCACAGATTGTAGTGCAAGTCTAGCGCCAAAGTTTGCTTTTCGCAGAGAGAGCTCTACACATGACTTTGGTTACCGCAGATCCATAAAAAGTCTCGAAAAGCGAAGGCCCGGATATTACATGAATTTTATTGAAGGTAATTTAGATGCATAGTAGTTCATAATAAATGGTATAGACTGCTGCACGACGAAGGCGCAATATTTTTGGGCGCGAACGCGGCTTTATTAGCCGCAAAGCGCATGAGGTGCGGACTCATAACGGTGAAATTACGTGCGCGTCGCGTTGGCGCCCGCTCAATGCATACAGCTTCTTCGCCTTCGTCATGCAGTAGCCTTCATTTTGTGAGGTGTAACGGAGTGGAAAAGAACAAAAGATTCACGTGACTGACATTGTAAATTAAGACAGCCCAGTCAGATATCAACCACTTGGTGGAAATGATTTTGCAAAATTGAGTAACAGGTTGAGGCAAGTTGGAGAAAGGTTTGCCGAAGAAGTTTTGTATGGAATGCATGGATTCGCGAAAGAGATATTTTTTCGCGCCGCTTGAACTAAGTCCATTTTGTTCGCACAAAAAGCCCATTTCGCGGGAACTTTCGTGGATATCATTCCAGAACGCTGGAGCTTCACAAAATGGAATGTTCGAATAAGCTGCGTGCCCCTCCCACCGGAACATCAATACATGCGGCCTTAAGTTTATTTGCAGATTTGGCCAGATAGGCCAGAATTTGGCCGATACTCCCTCGACTATGAGTACATGGATTATTTGAAAGAAAAGAAAAGAAAAAGGTAGCTTTTATTAAATCGGTTCGAAAACTTCGAAATATCCGTAGTAACACCTCCAAAGTTATTATCGAGTCCTGTTTTCTTCAATTGGCTACTCACGACTGTCCCATAATCCGCATTTAATCTTCAACCCTTTTTTTTGACATAATCTCTACTAACATGGCGAGCCGAACATTCGCTGTCAATATATCTTGTGCTCAAAAAGCTGAATGCTGTTCTGCTTCTGTCATAGTGATAAGTTTTACTGAGAAAGCTCAGCATTTCGGTGCACTTTCGCTTGTAATATCACAACATCTCAAAATTTTCTTCTTCAATTGTCAATTTTCCATGATAAAATGTACATAGTGAATCATAATGTCTTCCGTTATGCGAAAGCAGTCAGTCAGTTTCACATATCCGTGTCTTGACGGCTCAGATCGTCAGAAGGTGTAGATCTGCATCAACAAAGTTTTCCTGATCAAGATGGGACTGCGGAGTTGAACTAAAGCGTTTCAATGGAAAACATGGAAAACTGGTCATGGAAAACTCAGTATCTCTAAGCGGGAAATCCCCAAAGTTTTGGATAGCTTCGGAAACTTTGAAGCAGTTGGGTGTTTTTTAGCAAGAAATTTGAATCTGCTACCATGGTTGCCATAGTGCAATTCATCGTTACAGATGGGTATCAAAGCCTAATCGACCTAATTTGGCGAACGAATCTGCCGATGGAAGTTCACGTTTTTATGACGGAATGCATACTCCTAGTTATTTGGCGTTAACGAGGGAGTGTATGTAATTGTAGTTAGAAAAGCACTTTTTCCGACTTTCCAACCATACAACCCTTGCGAGAAGTAAAAAATCCGTAAAGTGCGCCTGTCGCAGACGAGAAAGGTTTATTATATCTGCGGTTCAGCGTCTCGAACGTTTTTGTGCTTCTGCTTTCCTAAGAACTCAATAAACTTGTGCTTTCCCAAGTAAACCACAGCTTCACCGTTTGTGCGAGTTTGGTCAAGCGGGTAAGCTGTTGTCATTGAGCCGGGAGCGTCACATGCGAGCCCTTAGTGGCAACACTCCTGCTCTCGCCGATTGTTGGCCGCACGGAAAACGCTGCGGACCACGCGCGGCTGGAATGTTGCGCGAACACGACTTACACAATGGCGAATTCGTACTGGGGCAAGCATTTTGCTTTGCGGCGCGTGCCCCGCAGTGATGTCCAGTCATGAGGTCAACTAATCGACCATACATCGTAAGGCATGATTTGCACTATCGAAAGATAATAATCGTTATTAGAAATTTCGCCTATCAAAGGAGGGTTTCAACTAAAGTCTGAAAATTACTGAATTCTGGCTGCAATCAGCTGTTTATCGACTCTTTCTATCCGCAGACTCGCAATTGTGCAGTTGTGCGCATTTCTCATCCGTAATTTTACGTTAGTTGTATCCCACTAATGAAAAAAGTGATTGGAGCAATATGGGAAACACCGTTACTAATGGTTTGGATTTTCCCACACATGGTATTACATACTCTATAAAAAGTACGACCGTGCATTTATACCGGTGCAGGTGTCTCGCTGTCAAAATATATCGTTGAACTTGCAAAGTAATCATGGGGCAACCTAATATTATTCGGAAGCTCGAAACAAGTGGAACCGATGTAGACTTCTCTCATTTTCAACCCTCTTTAAGAACTGAGATATGAGGAGAACAATCTCGTTGCAGCATCAGCTAATTTTGTACAATCACCTTGCGCTCGATTTTTGGAAGAGAAAAGCTAGAAAAAGAAATGGTTCTACGTTAATTTCTTGACAAAAACATATGTGTTCAAGATACAATCCCATGCATCTCTAAGTACAGGAAGGGCTGAAAAAAGTACGTCGAATCACCGTTTAGTGAGCTTTTTGAAAAGAAAAAGGCTTGTAGCTCTTAAAGTTGCCTACTATTTATGCTCCACCCCGCCCTCTCAATGGCTTGGCTTTAGTCGCCTGAGCAGATCTTTTTGGAACGAAAAAAATTTGGCACCAACAGTTGATATACCATTCGACAGCTAAAAACATGAGGGATCGATTGCATTGATTCTTCTCTTTCTTCCTAGCCTTTAGGTGAAGCAAGTTGAGCATCCATATCTGACAATACTATCAGCTAGTTTTGCCTAATTATTTTAGGCTCTATTCGCAAAGGAGCAATTTTCGCTTCAAATGCCAGTCAAAAACTCGAAACAAGATCAACTGCGCTTTTATTTTTTTTATTAATCTCTTCAGTGAAATGATACGATTTTGTCAGTCATGCATCCGATTGTCCAGATCAGACTTCTGTGACTATTGTATTCATTAGTATACATTTTTGCTTGATCCAGGTATCAGAGAATCTCTCAGTGAGTATACTCATAACAAAACCGTCACTCTGTATATAACAGAAAGTCTTCATTGCTAAGTCGTTCTTGAAGTGCTGTCAGCACTGACTGAACAAACGAAAGCGCATTATAGCGTTTTGTTCTGATATACTCTTCGACTCTCACTCTCAAATTTAGGTAAAAGGGACCATTACCGACTGAGGGCCGCATGCACTAACATCCCCGCGGGGAGGGGATTGCAGCTTAAAAGAAAGCTTCACATCCTGAAGCTCCAGATGTCTGGATTTCACGTTGTGTGCGTAACCGTGAGTATTCCTACTAACCTTCACTATGAACACATTGAACAGCAGCGAGAAGCTGTATAAGCCTCAATTTCCAGCATTTGTATGATCCCTGATCATCCTCGGCGCTTTTCTTTGAAGTCATATTTCCTCCAAAGTTAACGAAAAGTTTCCAAGGTTGTGCAGATTATCTAACCCAACACTGCTTAGCATGTTGCTGATAAGAACAAGTGATGCATCGGAGTCGTGAGATTTGCGATGAACCACAAGTCGAAAGTTGTGATTTATCGAAAAATTCGATTTTCCAAAACTCATTTGTTCTCATCAGTAACATGCTTAGCACTGTTGTGTCAGATAATTGGTACAACTTTGGAAGGTTTTCGTTAACTTCAAAGAAAGAAAAATGACTTTGAAGAAGAGCGCCGGGGATTGTCAGGGATCATACAAAAGCTGAAAAATGCGGCTTATACAGCTTCTCGCTCCTGTTCAATATGTTCATAGTGATGGAGAGTAGGAATACTTGCGGACAGGTAGACAGCGTGAAATCTAGATATCTGGAGCTTCAGAATATGAAGCTTTCTTCTGAGCTGCGATCCCCTCCCCAGCGGGGTTGTTAGTGCATGCGGCCCTAAAAGTGAGGGGGAGGGGAGGGAGGTGCAAAGCTCCCTGTTCAGCTCAATGCTCACGAGCAACCTGCGCGACTTCTCCAATTCTCCGCTTTAGCTCAATATTTTCGTCAATTGAATTTCGAAATACATTCAACCTACAGAAAGCGGTAGACAGCTGTCTTGGCAGAACGGTTTGACGTTGAACTTGTCTTCTTAAAACATTGGAGTGGCCGTCGATTTATCTTACAAAGCAGTTCTGAAGGGCTCAGCTCAATTTATTCAAGCTGACGGAAGTTTCACTACAAACTCTAGTCCCATGCCTAATTTGGAGGTGGCCTTTTTGTGATGATATGCATCTTGTATTGATGATATATGTATCTTGATTGGGCACTTCGACTTCGCGACCTCCTCTTTGAGTTAGGTGTTTTTCTTATCAGGTGTAAAAGCATACCTTACCTCATGGAAGAAACCCTTTCGTGGGGAACAAAATCATACAACTGAAAATTCTGATGATCTGAAAGCAGCAAAATACAATTAATTCTCTAAGAACTGTTATCATTATTGTAAAGCGTGTATGTAATATAACCAACGATCAGACCAACGCTTTGAAAAAAACGGTGTGCAACCCATTTCTTCACAAAAAAACATTTACTATGCGGGACGGTCTCTTGAAAACTGTAAACATGAAAGACTGCTGAATTTGCATTTTCCGTTTCGATTTTGCTGTCGAGCATATTCGAATGCTTCTCGTAGGTTGTAATACTTGTAAATGTAGCACATTAATCGCCAGTTTGCTGGGTGCTGCAATAAAAAGCCGATCTCAGACTATTACAGGATGCAAAATGCAATTGTGTTTTCGTTGAAACTTGGTCGTTTGAAGGCAGCTATTGATATCTAGTGTTTTTTACAAGTTGGAGTGTATAAGTCTGCACAGATTTAGAAAACGCCTAGCCGCTGGTGTGAGCAATACAAGAGCTGCAATATACAGTGCATCAGATATGATACTGCCTTGTGATCGGGAAACAACGGTGCATTCTACACCCCTCTAACCAATTTTCTTTAGAATGGATATTCAGGGAGAATCACAACTTGTCAGAACCTCCATGCTGTTTTCTTCGACTGACAAGCTCAAGCAAGTGGATGACTCTCAGCATTGGGTTGCTACAGAGGATCTTCTCACCTTGGGAGGTCTTTTACCCACAAGGTTTACATTTGATAACAAGCTCTCTATGACTTGTTGTTAGGTCCGGATTATAAGGTAATTTATATATCATAATTTCGCTCAGATCGCCTACTCTTGTCCCATCCGAAATACTTCGATCGAGCTGTTCCAAGATACATGAAACAGGAGTGCTGCACTCTGGCCATTCGCAATCAACGGAAGTAACCGCCCGTTCGTTCCGTTCTGAGATAGAAGACGAAATCAAACGTAGCGGCGGCATCTTTCATTTCGCTGGACGCTCTTCGGAAGAGGTAACGACTGATGTAGTTTCTTTCTCAAAATAAAGAAAGCAAAGCAGGAGGTACTCGCTCTTTTGCAACGTTACCCGTTCATCGTTTTCAATCCGGAAGATTCCGAAAATAATGTAGAAGTTGCTTTGAAAGTTGGTGAAAAGGTGAGCTATAAATATGTCATTTTACGTACAACAAGAAAAAGGCAACAACTCGCAGTGCCCCCTCCTAACAAGATGATGATTAGGATTGCCATGAAATTCTGTGGCCGTATTTAGCGACAATCCATTTTAGGGCATAATCTTGCTTACAATGTCGAAATTGATCTCCTGTACTCGCAAACATGAAAACCAGAGGTTTACCGCATCCCACGTCTAAATGCAAACTTAAGGGTTGTTTTAAGCTGCCGCACTGACTGCAGCAGACTGCACCTGACCGCACTGACCGCAGCAAACTGCAGCTGACCGCATTGACCGCGGGGCCGCACAGATCGCTACATCCTTTCGTGAAGGTGGAGAGGGTGAATAGTTGTAGCCAGGGTCAAGCAAGGGGTGTGGCACACGATCGCTGGTTACGACCCCTCCACCTGACTGCTGTCTTAATAAGACCCCCCCCCATAAACCCCTCCCCCCCTCCCTGAACTATATACCTAAGATAGCATTACCAGAGTTGAGAAGGAAGTCAGGCACAAGTCTATCGAAAACAACCCCCCCCCCCCTCCCATGAAAGCCCTCAAACGACCCCTTCTTCCTCCTCTCAACCTCTGGACCTCAAAGTGTGACATTCTGGAGGACACCAGCTTTTTCTAGAGAGTTTTCAGATTTCTGAGAGCTGTACGCCCGATTTTCTGTGACTGCACTTTACAATCACACGTAATTTGACGGCTGATTTTGATCTGAATGGGCACATTGAAAGGGCCATAATTTTCTTATGGGTGGGGCGTTCGGCTCCAAATTTCCAGTGTAGCAAGAAGAAGCTATGTGCTCAATACTCATACCAGCAATGGAGCGCTTTCTGGATTTTGAAGGCAAGTTAAGGGGGTGCGGCACACCCCCTTAAAAGCTGCGGCAGCCGCAGCTTTTAAGGGGGTGTGCCGCACCCCATTAACTATATCAAAAAAAAAACATTTTTATCGGACATTACTTACATGAATCGATAGCCTAAACCTTGTAGATTCCATAGGACTGAAGCCTGATTTGTCTTCTTAGTTCTGAGTAATATTTGGTGAAAGCACAGCGATCAAATGCGAAAAGTGGGAAAAACGAGATTTTGGTTGGCTTCTAATTCCACAGTTTGCAGGTCTTCTGAAGCGGGATTCCTGAGTTGGACAAAGAAGGAGCAGTGCTTTGTCTTGAGTGCAAAAATGGATAGCTAATTCACCTTTGAAACAAAGTAAACCATGTTGGAATTTGACCATTTCATTTAGGTAGCCTAGTATCTTGAATCTTCAGAATTCGCTCACACTTTGTCTACAGGGGTTAATTGACATGCTAACTATGGATATGATACAAATATCATGTTATCACTATTATCAGATTACCCTACTACGACCCCCTCCCCTTTTGACTCCTCAATACGACCCCCCAGGTGTGGCGTGCCGCACCCCACGCTTGACCCTGGTTGTAGCTCAAACATCTCTTAACAATGTATGCCCCAATAGACAACACGAGCGGAAGTAAAATAGGTATATGCAGTGACAAAAGGAATCTGAACAAATATGAACATATTAAAGAAAAACAATCGCCAAAAATCTGACTAGAAAAGTGAGTTAGAACCTATGGACTTTCCACGCGTAAATCACGGTGTTTTGATGTATTCGCAACTATTTTCTCTTTTACAAAAGGATGCAGCGAGCTGTGCGGCCGTTGCGGTCAGTGCGGTCAGCTGCAGTTTGCTGCAGTCTGCTGCAGTCTGCTGCGGTCAGTGCAGTCAGCTGCAGTCTGCTGCAGTCAGTGCAGCAGTATGAAACAACCCTAAGAGTTAACGACCATGGACACTAATTCAAAATAAAATAATAATATTCTTTCTGCTAGAAGCTACTAAAAATTTCGTTTCGCAGTCAGATTAGTGATAGCCTGAATTTGAAGATGGCATCGAATTTCTAAGGTGGAGGTCTCAAAAAGAAAGTCAGCGAGGAATGCTTTAGAAGCCGCTTACCTCCGGCAAATTCAGTATACCCCCACGCCACTTCAACCAACATAAGCACAAACTGCCTAATTTCAACACGTAGACAATTTGATAAGTATGAATTGGATTTACAGTGCCGTTGTGTACATTATATAAAAAGCCAATCGCTTGCTTGTTGACCTTTTAATTCTCAGGGTCGAGTCTTTCTCGTGGAAATCTTAAAAGTAGAAGGAGATGGAATGATCTGGCGACTGCTCGGAACCACATTCAGTCTCGGGTGGGATATTTTTATATTTTTACGCGATCCCCCTGCCATCTGTAGTACTTCTAATTTCAACAGTCATTCCATGTAAGCGCGCAACTTTTTGCATTTTTGTTCGCATCCAGGTTTGTAAAACGTCTTTACATATAGGGCATACTAAATGGCGACAACTTATTTCTGCGATCCTTGCATCCACGTGGCATAAAACACTCAAATTAGGGGCATTAATTCGGTTCAGTTAAGTGCTTTGTATCTAAATCTCTCATATGTCTGCAAAAAAAACCATTAAAGTAGAAATAGAAGCCAAGAAAATGCGCTTGTCAGAGATGCATATGCTGTCCTGCATAGTTTACCATATTCTCAATCCTGATAGAGGTCTACGACCGTTAATTTGCTCTGCTGCAAATTGCATAAATAGTACAGCTACGCCAAGCGACGTTGTGTTGATTACTGTAGGTATTCTAATGTGGCTAATCATCTTCTAGAATTTTTTTTTATTCCAGATTCAAATCTTTGGAAGATATGGCGCTTTTCTATCGACGCTTTCCCGCAGCAGTAGAGTAGCTTTTTGAATGTATGCACTGTCTTTTTCAATACTAAGAAAATACTGAATCATTCTAAGTAAATTCGTATTAAAGTGCTTCAAAATGTAATGTTGGTTAGACTCAAGTTCATTCGGATTCTGCTAGTAAATCTGTTGTCATATAGCGTTATACACATCTAAAAAACCATAATTGACATTTGCTCGAAATTTGATCTTCATCCTAAGTCTTGCTTAAAAGATTACCACTATTCTATCTTGCGTTAGGATATGTAGTTGTAGCCATCAGCAACTAGACTGTTTGGATCCCACATAATCGTACCTAGATTTAAACATGTATAGAGACAGATATAAATAAGGGATAAATGTAGACTTGATAGTCGTTTCATTTTTTAGTCGTTTTGAAGTTTAAATAGCTAAGGTTAACACTGCTGTAGTTATGATTGATTGTCACCCTCCTGCATTTCGTCGCAAAGCGAAGGGCAGAACAACGATGAAGGAAGAGGCAGGCTGAGACTCTCTTCATTGTAAAGGAAAACTAGAATAACCATTGTTGAGCACATCACAAGTCTTATAAAGCGTGTGCAGAAAGTTACAAATATCAGCGGATGTATTAAGTTGTCCGGAAATTAATGCAGGTTTTGAACTCCAACCGCAATAAGTCTACACTTCTCATTTTTAAGTAGGTTGGAAAACTATTCGATAGAGCAAAGCAAGCTCTACAAGATGGCAGTCTTGCTTTAGCAACAGCTCTGATCCACCACGATTTTCGAGCCAAAAACTAAAAAGATTCAGCTACTTGAAAAGTTGAGAAAAATCGTAACTCAGTTCACAAAAAACCTACACAAATTCTAACTTGCTCATGTAAACACCATTCACATAAGACATCTATACACGCCTTTGCCGTATTTTTTTTTTCTGTTAGAAATCAAGAAAACGGAAATTTTCGTGCATTTGCCAAAGTGGTGTTGTGCCGTTTCCACCTAAGTAGTTGTATAATACAAACCTGTAGAAGTACAAACGCAAACTTACAGCTCTCTACACCTTACCTCCTGAGAAATATCGAATACAATTTTCCCTAATCATGCGGTTCAAGCATAAATTCATACTCGAGAACTAAAGTTTGTAGAGAGCTGGAAATTTACGTTTGTACTTCTACTGTTTACTTCTACTTTCGGTTTGTAGTATATAACTACTTATATGGGAACGGCACAGCATCACTTTGGCAAATGCACGAAAATTTCCGTTTTCTGGATTTTCAACAGAAAAAAAAACAGCAACGGCGTATATAGATGCCCTATGTGGATTGTGTTTATATGAGGGAGTTAGCATTTTTGTAGGATTTCTATGAACTGAGTGATTTTTCTCAATTTTTTAAGTAGTTGAATCTCTTTGGTTTTTGGCTCAAAAATCGTGGTGGATCAGAGCTGTTGCTAAAGCAAAAGTGCCATCTTGTAGAATTTCCTTTGCTTTATCGAATGTTGATTTGTAACCTACTTAGAAATGAGAAGTGATTACTTATTGCTGCTGGAATTCAAAACCTGCATTAATTTCCAGACAACTAATACAAAGATGATGAAAGGTGTTAGTGGTAGAGATAACAATGTAGGCCGGGCATTTATCATGCGCTTCAACGCACAAAGCGACTGTCACAAGTCCATTGCATGCCGACCATTATGCTACTCCTTATTTCTACTTTCTCGACCGACTATTCGCTACTGCAACTGATAAAAAAATGATCAGCATGCGATGGACTCTTAACACTTTGTCGGGAGAATGGGGAGATGGCGCGTGATGCATTACCGGCACTCATCGCACGTGATCAGAAAATTTGTCGGTTTCGGCGCAACGGTACCGTTAGAGATATTGAGAGAGATATTAACGATTGGAAAGTGTGTACTTACTTTTGGGACACCTTGTTTTACGTGGATTTTTTAATTGATTGGATGGAACCTTGGCAAAGCAACCATTTGCGCAGTGAGCAAAAATCTTCTCAAATTTTTAGGTGGAATTTTGACGAAATAACGATTTACGCAGTCTTTGGTTCGACACTTGTGGGCAAAAAAATTAATTTCGGTTATTATCGCTAAATTATATGTTTATCTTTCAAGCAAATCCTGACTTTGTAAAAATTCTAAAAGCTCATCCGGTCGAAAGATATGTGAAACCGTTCATTTATAACACACACACACACACACACACACACACACACACACACACACACACACACACACACACACACACACACACACACACACACACACACACACACACACACACACACACACACACACACACACACACACACACACACACACATACACACACACACACACACACACATACACACACATACACACACATACACACATACACACACACATACACACACATACACACATACACACACATACACACACATGCACACACACACACACACACACACACACACACACACACACACACACACACACACACACACACACACACACACACACACACACACACACACACACACACACACACACACACACACACACACACACACACACGTACAAATCTTCTGCTTCACAGCTTGTCTTCTTTAGTTGCTCTCGCAAATTGTCGTATGGAGCAGAAAAGCTAGGCTAGGATTAGGCTTTAAACCCCGCCTTGCAGCCGCCAACCCCGTTGAATCAAAAGATATATGCACATTCGTGATGCTTTTGATATCCTTTCTTGATACCCCTTCCTAATGCTGAATTATTGTGCGTTCAAAATCGACTGACTAGCGATTTTTGCATGGTGCATGTAATGTGTCATTTTCTCAAGCGACAACCAATTTGTTATCAACTTTTATCCAGTGTACCAACTTTTCCACTATATGGCTGTCGTCATAACCTGGTTAATTGATTGTACTAATGAAGTTCTCTCAGACCCCAACATCAACGCTTAAGGTATTTATTCTGTGATTAGGGAAAGCCAAAGTAGAAGTGAGGCATGTGTTGCTCACCGAACGACATACCTAATCCTTAAACGTTCGGGTTGTCGTGAACACTAAGAGCCGAAAATGAACCGGAAGGAAATGTGCTCCGCTGTGAACAATGAATTTCCATGATCTTAGATCTCCGTAAACATTTGAGGTCAGGACATCGACTGTATAAAAAGAGCTTGAGATGCATATCCTACATTCGTTGGTGCAGTAATGTCATTGAAGGTAAGTTCAGTTCTTTGCTGTTCGTGACTCTACTTTGGCCTGTAATAATTAAGGATTGAATGTTCTTTGAGCATTGATGTGAACGATCAAAAGAATTTTCCACTTAGAGCCGGGACATTGGCCTCATTGAATAAAAGCTGAGAACGTGTTGATTGCTGCTCGTGCACAAGAGACATATTGTCAGTTCCCACTCACAAACATTGCAAACCGTCTAATTCGATACGATAGCTACTTTAGAATATACAAAACCAGTTAGGATCTTGGTCCCGCCCGGGTTAAATATCACGAATGGTCTGGGAGGAGGGGCACGGATGTGAATATTAGACATGCAAGAAAAAACATTGTGCCCTCCGACTCCTCCTCCTTCCCGTTCCCTCTCCACTTCGACAGCCTTAACCCACGCAAGAGACACCGCACAGCAAATACTTACTTTGCGCAGCCTCACTTTGAATAACAACATACTGCTCCCTTCTGCAAAACGAAAACGAGTGCACCCCCAGCCCCATAGCTCAAACTTTGCAAAAAAATCGATAAAATTGCAAAAAAATCGATAAAAATCGGTAAAATCGATATCGATCGATGACCAAAGTTAGCCTGTGACATCCACCCCGTCCCGAAGTGTATGTGTGCCAAGTTTGGTCCAGATCGGTTCAGAAATGGAATTTTCTATTCGGAACATACGTACACACAGACGTACATACAGACAGACAAACAGATACTCAGCTTTGTATATGAGATGCTTACGGCATTCTGTGACATTGAATCCAGACCAGATTTATCATTACCTTTGCTGTATTACTTTGAATAATTTGGCGCAAATAATTTGAGCGCACCCTGTACTTCGATAATTGCCGAGAACTAGAATCCTTTATTTTACCATGTCTAAATTTCGCTAATTTTCAGAATCTTCATTTCAGACTTTTGAAGGTGCTCTAATAACCACCGGCAGAGACAAACATTTTTAGAATATTGCTGAGATATTTTACCAGGACATTGAATCTTAAAAAAATCACGTGACACATAACTGCACCAAAGCAAAGTCAGCAGTACAGTAATTCTGTCTGCAAAAATTGTCGAAAATTGTTAAAAATCGATTTTGTCTGTCTGTCCGCATGTTTCGCGAAGCAAAAATAGCTATCAGAAAGAGGAGAAAAAGATGCATCGAATGGTACCCAAACTTTTCATCGTCTAATGTTTTGCGAGATTAGAATGAGCAAATATAAAATATCAGTCTAGAAAATATATTCAAGTAATTCTAGAATGCATGCCAGAGAGATGCAAAAATTGCATTAATTTGCAAACGCTTTGCCCTATTACTCAGATAATCGCCGGGGGCAGGCGGTCCGCAAACTCGCACTATTCTGCAGGCGGTCCGCAGAATTTTGGGGCGTGGCCGTTTGGCGAGCGGCACTTCCTTTACGGTCGCATATTCTGCCAGTGGGTAGCAATACAGCAATTTTTGCAAGCGCTCGGCAAATAATTTCTTTCAGCGAGCGCCCTGACTCTTTTTACGCAGTTTCGGGCGTACGCCGAGCAAAGGTAACAAACACTCTACAACATAACAGAGGTGCCATCGATGGTTTGATTACCCGAGTTTGAGGTACTTTCTCTCAGCGAAGGTACCTACGGGCTGTGCGGTCCTCCACGAAGGACTGTGCGGCTTTCAATAATTTTGCATATTCTCGCGGAAAGTCCGCGAGAATGCGGCTACTGGACCGCAACTTATCCATAGAAAGACCGCGATAGTTCTCCGAGCGTTCATCTGAAAATTGGCCAAAATTATCCCAAATTTCTGCGAGCGGACCGCAAGAAATCTGCGAACTAATTTTCCGGTGCCCGCTTGCTCAAAATTCGCATGGCCGCCTGCCCCCGATTATCTGAGTAGGAAGTTATTAGAGCACCTTCAAAAGTCCAAAATGAAAAATTTGAAAATTAGCGAAATTTAGGAATGGTAAAAATAAATGTTTCTAGTTTTCGGCAATCATAATAGCGCTAGTCGAAACACCACTTCGAAAGTGGGCGGGCGGGCACCGGAAAAATAGTTCGCTGATTTCTTGGGGTCCGTTTGCAGATATTTGGAAGAATTTTAGCGAAATTTTGAACGAATGCTTGAAGAACAATTGCGGTTTCCTTGCAGATTAGTTGCGGCGCAGTGGCCGCATTCTCGCGGACTTTCCGCGAGAATATGCAAAATTTTCGGGGGCCGCAGGGTCCTTTATGGAGGACCGCGCAGCCCACAGGTACTTTCCGCTGAGAGAAAGTACCCCAAACTCGGGAATTAAACCATGACACCTCTGCCACATAGAGCCTCATCTTTGCTCGGCGTACGCCCGAAACTGCTTAAAAAGAGTCCGAGCGCCTGCTGAAAGTTTGGCTAGGGCTCGCTGAAAGAGATTATTTGACGAGCGCTTGCAGAAAATTCTGTACTGCTGCCCGCTGGCAGAGCATGCGACAGCAAAGAAGGTACCGCTCTGGATGCAGAAAAGCGCGAGTTTGCGGACCGCCTGCCCTCGGCGATTATCTAACTGGTGGCGTTTGAGAATTTTGGAAACGAAGTCCCTTTTGACGTTGCAGAAGATTAAGTGATACCCTTTGTGGTGTTTGTGGAAATGCGCTAATAATCTGCAGCGAACGGTGAGTGAATGGAAGTTAAGAATAGACAAGAAAAATCGGAGATAAAACACCAACAAATGAAAAAAGCACGTTTTAATCATTCAAGGGCCGTAGCATAGCAGAGGGGACCGAAATTGAGCTAAGTACACGTAGGTATAGTTCGAAATGAAGAATCTTATATATAAAGCTGAATGTCTGTTTGTATGTCTGTATGTACGTCTGTATGTATGTCTGTCTGTTTGTCTGTCTGTACGTATGTTCCAAATAGAAAATTCCATTTCTGAACCGATCCGGACCAAACTTGGCACACATACACTTCGGGCCACGGCGGGTGTCATAGGCTACTTTTCGTATCGATCGATATCGATTTTATCGATTTTTTGCAAAATTTGAGCTACGGGGCTGGGAGTTGGCACAGGGGGGTAAGTGAGCATGGGGATTCCGAATACAATATTAGTTTTTAAAATCGTGCATTACTTTTATCGATTTTATCGATTTTTTTGCAAAGTTTGAGCTACGGGGCTGGGATTTGGCACAGGGGGGTAATCGAGCAGGCTGATCACCCCCGTGGGGCAGTTGGCAGGGGGTGTAATCGAGCATGCTGATCACCCCATGCTCACTTACCCCCCTGTGCCAAATCCCAGCCCCCTAGCCCAAATTTCGCAAAAAATCGATAAAATCGGCATCAATCGATAACGAAAAGTGGGCTGTGACACCCGCCGGGGCCCGAAGTGTATGTGTGCCAAGTTTGGTCCGGATCGGTTAAGAAATGGAATTTTCTATTCGGAACATACGGCGGAGCCGGGTAAGCGAGCTAGTAGATTTATAAAAATTTTTGAAAAATTATGTGAAGAAGGGAAAAAATTCACATTGTTTGGTTTCGCGCAACCTCAGGGTGCTCCCAGGTTGCCCCAGGCTGCGCAGGAGCAACCTAAATCGAAAAAATAACGCTTAAAACTCACATTCACGTAATTTTCTCATGATTTTTCATACTTTGCTTTCTATCGTCGTCGCGAAGGTACACATTAAATTTGAAGTCTTAATATTGCTTACCGATTGTAAGCGAATTAATTATTTATTTTTTGTGCATAAAGAATGCGTTTTGACACGCTGAAATTGTGTGCACACAGATCTGAGCACTTATCCTGTTTGTAACGTGTTAATTTACTGTTACGTGTAAATGACGTCAGAGTTGAAATAAGAGCTTACTAAAGGTTAGTTTCACTCACTAGGGGGTCAGCTTCCGCGATTCACTCCTGGAAACTTTACAAATTGCCCTTTGCTTTTCTTTGAAAAAACGACGTCCAGCTTGTGAAAGCGCCACCTGTGCGGAGCCCATCTCTATGCCATTACAGGGTGCGCTAGAAATATTTGCGTCAACTTTGCATGAGTGCTGCAAAGAAACTACTCATAGTTTTAATTTCAAAATTTATGTGGTAGAATGCTGCAATCATCCTCTACAAAACAACGCTTTATGAGCCGAGGACGACTGACATACCTTTGTGCAAATAATGAAATTGTCGTACTTATACTTCTAGAAGGCGCAAAAACCTAGTTTTTTGGTAGTCATAATTCATTCCGTAACTGGAGATTCTTGAGACATTTTCAAGGGATTTTATGTCCACAGTGTGTAGAGGAGGCTTTGCGCTATCGAATCGTGTACTGGCGTTCACCAACAATTACTCTTCCAAAAATGGCAACAAAAAGTATGCAAATGCCACCCGCGTGTCAGTGGCCGTTTTGTTTTCAAATCACATTTGTAAGCTACAGAAACGTGCCTGTCACCGGATTCAATGCTATAGTGCTTTCACAAAGCTTCTAGATAAATATTCATTTCTTTTCCACTGATGAAATTGGACTCCAACCTCATTTGGAGTCAATTGCTGCCTCTTTTCCGCTCATTCGCACCCCTAAAATGTGCAGTTTTTGAGCATGTAGCAAACACATGACTTTGTTTAAACGTCGATAATTTTCTTGTCAGACCATCCTAGATTTTGCGCTTATAGTATGTTGCAGCCGAAATCTTGCTCTTTCATGTGGTGTGTTTCTTGCATCACTGGAGCATTTTCCTATGAAGAAGCAGAAGATATCTGAAAAATTACCTGCGTGCTGCGCGCAACTTAATCAGTAAGATATTTTCTGATTTTTCTCAAGCCACACTTAGAAACTCCAACTCATGCTATAGGCTCTTAATGATAAAACTTTGATGAAACAAAATAGCTTTTTGCCTATCGCTGATCTCGTCTTGCACGAGTTTTGCGTTGCAGAATACACGCGCAAATAATTCTGGCGCACCCTGTACATGCTATTCATGAAGCTGATGGAAAAATCTCTGGAACGTGCCTTTCTGGCCTCTGCAGCTTTTAGCCATGAGCGTTTTTTTTTCAAAATTAGTACCACTTCTGCCTTGTCTCTGTTTGAACATTTCTTTTGTCTTCATATTGCGTTGTTGTTCTTGTTCGTAGATTCATTATGGACAATCAACCATGCCGTTTTCTCAGACAATGCTGACTCATGCGCCAATGTGCCGCACATCATGCTGCACTCAAACTCCAACTTTGGGAAATCGCAATTCTGCTATTTTATTTTACCCCGTAAGGCTATGCAGTAGCTGCTTTGCTCTTTAAACCTTCAGATAAGTGTCTTGAGTCGTCTATCTCTATTGCTATCCGTTCAACACTGAAACTTTATTGACTAGATATCTCACAAGGGAACTACCTAACTTAGCTCGGCCTTTTGAGACCTATAAAGTTTGAATCACTTCTAACGCTGATTCCAAATATGCTATTTCTAGCTGCCACGCACCATTTCGAAGCGAGTTATGGGTTTTTTTCTGCGCAAAATTGGCATGCTCATCGACTTATGGGCATCATGTCATCATCATATAAGTGCTAATACACCTGCGCTAAGCTTCTTTTGGTGGGAAATAATTGTGAATTTGTGTTATTTCGACATCTCAGCACCTTTTTCTTGCAGATTTTTATCTACAGGCAGTCTTCTCATGTTCAGTAGCATGCCAATTTTGCGAAGGAAAAAGCCCATAACTCGCTTTGAAATGGTGCGTGGCAGCTAGGACTAGGATATTTGGAATCAGGTTTGAAGCTGATTCGAAATATATATGCCTTTTACCAAAAGGCCGAGCTAATAGGTAGCTTTCCTTATCAGTCAAGAACCTAACCTATTTTTGTAGTATAGCGTCCAATATGTAAATGCATTTCTTTGAAAAACTGCGTTCGCATGCCGATAGTGTCCCTGCCTTGACTAGATTAGAACGATTTTTAATGTGCAAGTTTATATAGATATCAAGCCAAAACTATCTGATGATCAACAGTGATAATTTTTGTGTTTGAGCAGATATAGTCAATCAAACGACTGTTGCCAATAAGGTAAGTCTGTTCATGTCAACGTTAATCTTGCTATCTAGGTTTGAGCCCTGCCCTTTGGTCTTAACAACTAAACTCTAGACTCATGCTTTTTACTCAAGCTTTCGAAGTCTCTCCAAGACTTGAAGCCTCAGGTTGAATAATATCTGACTAACCGATACTTTCGCTCGGACTATCCTCAGTATCAGTTAAGCGATGAGATCCTCCACTGCTATTTTGCCACACAAACAAGCACTTTATACGCAACTAGCTTCAAAATGTGCTATGTTCCTCTTATGCTGGAATCAACACATATTTTACAGATCAAGACTACTACCTTTGCATTGGGCTTAACATTCAATAGTCAGTCACTTAGGTACTCCATCCGACATTAACACCTCTGCGACATTCACACTAAAGTTTGCAATAATGCAAAACGAAACGTCTTCTCAATGAGATCCTCAGAAATGCGTTGAGCTTTGTATTTCGTCCTCAAAAGATAACTTTACTCGAATCCCCCTGTAAAATACTTCCAAATACGTTGACCTGGGGTGAGTCTCGGCTGGCTTGTCGCATACTTTTTTTTAGAAGCATTGGAAAAGCAGAGCAGACCTTGCGTGGCGATACATAGAAAAACAAGTTTATTCTTCTGCCTCACGCAGATATGCAAAAGAAAGTCTCAATATTTTTAGCTGAAGACAAACGTGTGCAATAAACTCTCTGCAATACTTTGGCAGATCGTATGTCATGGTCAGACGTAATGTTGATTGAAATATTTTGTCATTTTTCGCTATCAATGTAATTTCAAAACTATAAGGTTGTCCCAAAAGTTCTGCCGTTTTATTTTCAGAAGTTTGTAACTTTTTTGCCTCGACGGATTTGGTTCTTTCTAACTCTATCGAAGAAGAAGTGTTCCTTTTTGATTAGTACCTCGACGAGCTTTTACACTCACTGCAGAGATAAAAATGGAAAAAAGGAAACCACTCAGGCTTCGACAATTTTGAGTTAGATCGCCAAAAGTCAAATGTGCTGCAGAAAACCTGAAATTGTCGGTACATGGGTTTTACGATCTGCTCTTTACAACAAAATAAATTTTGTGCTCTTTGGACGTCTCTGTGCAAATTTACGATTTTCGCAAAAAGGACAAATCACTCAGTTCTGGCGTTATCTATTGTAAACACGAAATTCATAACTTAATTCATAACATAACTTCTCGTAGAAACGTCCAAACAGCACAAACTTTTTTCTCTTGTAAAGAGTAAGTCATAAAACCCATGTATGGACAATTTAAGATTTCTCTGCAGCATCCCAGTTTTTTGGCGACCTAACTACTCGGTCAAATCCTGAGTGGCATTTTTATCTCTGCCGTGAATGTATGGTAAAAGCATATTGTATTGAGGCGCTATTACAAAGAGAAAGATTTTTTTCCAATAAGGTTGAAAGGAAACAAATCCGTCGAGATGTCAAAAAGTTACAAACTTTTAAAAAAGGAACGACAGAACTTGCGGGACAACCTGATATATGCATGGTATCTGTGAAAATTAGAGAATTAGGCCATCAATGCACATGTTAGCCAAAAAAAATTTTTTGGAGGAAGTTAATGCAGTGAGGCACAGCCACAAGGAAGTTTGGCTGCCACATCCTTTTTGAGGTTCTTCTGAAATCGTTTCATGCAGTAGAAGATATAGCCCCTTTCCGTACTATGTTAATGGTAAACAATGGGATAGCTTAGGTCTTGTAATTTTCACAGGAGTGGTTTGAGCTCAGATCAGGTGGATCACAGGGTTGGTTTGAGCGATAGTTGCTGAAGGCACAATCGATAAAAAAGAAAATGGAAGACAAGATTCTGGTTGGCTACAGATTTATTAGTTTAGCAGTTGATTGAAGTGGCATATCTTATATAGCAAAAAGGTTCATTTGGGCGGCCAAGGTTTGAAAGCTCAGAATTCGCTAAGGCCCGTATGCACGTACGTCCCCCCCCCCGCTGGGGAGGGCAGGGGATCTGAGAGGGGATGCGTCATATCTTGCTATTCTAAATATCTTTCTTCTTCCTTCTCTATCCTTATAAAAGTTCTCATGCCCTTATACCTGCGCATAATGGATGCCAGGTTACCGCCATATAAGATTGGTTCTTTGCCATTTTGTGCGTTCCCTTGCTGATCCCCTGGAGATCTCTAGGAGATCATCTCCCATTTCCAAAGTGACTTATCTTTTTGAGAAATGAAAACGCTGCAAAATTGTACTGAGGATATACTACAGCACTACTAACGACGAAATGGTCAGAACCTAACCCACCTATTCCAAACAAGCTGTATATCATCGGACTCGCCTCAAAACGCTGATTTCAAATGCATGTTTCTGTCTGCCAAGCGAATCTGGAAGGACTTATAAGCGTTCCAAGTAAAAGATGTTTCGAATTTCGACGAGTATCTTTCTTCGAAAGCAGCTGATGGCGAGGATTTACAGTGGCTAGAGAAGCAGATTCACCAAAAACCTAAACGAGTATTTTTGGAACGTCTTTCATGGAACCTGCGCCACAGAACACGTCACAAATCGCATTAAAAGCTCATAACTCCTTCCAGATAGTCGCTTGGCAGATAATAAACAACGATGATTGTGATCAGCGTTTCAAGGGGAGTCCGATAATTATAGCATGTTTGGTATGGCTGGGTTAAGTTCTGACCATTCCTGCTAAGTTAAAAGCTCTTTGTTATATGTTCTAATAAGGAAGTCAGTGCGGTGCTGTACAATCCGCTCACATTTTTTGAAAGAAAAGACGCTAATCGAACTTGTGCAGCCACCGCATAAGTCACGCGACGGTCGCTTGAGTTATGTGACATCAGCATCGCGTGGCCATATCTCGCTTCAGAGTAGACTTTTAAATCCGAAGCCGCCATTCGACTCAGCTCGGCGCGGAGCATCTTTTGATAAGTTGAAAGTGGCGGTACGATATCTTCGATATTCCGTTTCTAGTTTTCTCAAATTCTTCTGCGGTGGTCCTTTCGAAGATTTGAAGCAGCGCCTATCCAACATAGAAGATTCCTCTAAGTATTCTGTTCGATAGTACTGTTTTTGTAGATTATCTGCGCTAAAAATAACCTCATATTTCTTTTCAAAAGAGATAGAAGCATTGGTGAATTTTGGAAAAATCACACGTTTCCAAAATCTACTCGCCGTAACTTCCTTTAGAGTGAAAATTTTCTGCATTCGACGAGATACGCGATCTTTACATTTTGGGCATAATTCATGAGGGAGTGTTTTCATAGGCTCATAACTTGGCGACTTTTACAGACTTGAGCCTGAGTCATGCATCATTTGATAGCTCAGTTCCCAGTAAATTCAACCGCTAAAAGCAAGTGGATAAGTTTTCCGACAGGTACGAGAGAAGTGCAGTTGAAGTTACAACTTTCATGACTCAGTTACCTTACCATATCTCTGCAAAAAGACCCTATATTCCTCAAAGACTACGATTTTCGTAAATAGAGTGTCCGAAAACCTCTATAAGCGAAGTTTACTTACAATACGAGATGATCAACATTTTGACCAAAATCGACGACCTTCAGAGCGTAAAAGTAGATAAAATGAAATAACCCGAACATCTTGGACTACTTCCTCATAGAGGTCATCCGACCTGCTGATTACAAAAATCACATCTGCTTGAGAGCTTCATATTTTAGGGTTATTTTAGGGTTTTTAGGGTGAGAAAAAACGACATGGTTTTTCCAAAATTCACCAGCCCTTCTAGTTCCTTTGGAAAAAAAGTGTGCGGCTAATTCTCGGCACCCCATAATCTTAAGAAGAAGTACTACCAAAATTTCTTGTTGGAAACCACTAGGGGCATTACGCGCTGCTTTACACCTTTGCGAAAAGACGTTGAAACCGAAGCATCAAGGACATGCCGTACATAAAAAGATTCGCCTTGATGAGCTGAGCACAATGCTCTTTTCGGATGCAGAAAATATTCACTTCAAAGGAAGTTACGGCGAGTAAAAATTGACGCGTGATTTTTCAACAAATCCACCTCTTCTACCTCTTTTGAAAAGAAGTCTGAGCCTATTTTTTAGTGCACAATAATCCGCAAAAACAGTGTTATCGAATAGAACTGCAATAGTTCATGGAACATGCGCCACAGAACATAGGTCTTGTGATTTTCACAGGAGTAATTTGAGCTCAGATCATCATTTTTGGTTTGAGCGATAGTTGCTGAAGGCACAATCGATAAAAGAGAAAATGGAAGACAAGATTCTGGTTGGCTACAGATTTATTAGTTTAGCAGTTGATTGAAGTGGCATATCTTATATAGCAAAAAGGTTCATTTGGGCGGCCAAAGGTTTGAAAGCTCAGAATTCGCTAAGGCCCGTATGCACGTACGTCCCCCCCCCCCCCCCCCGCTGGGGAGGGCAGGGGATCTGAGAGGGGATGCGTCATATCTTGCTATTCTAAATATCTTTCTTCTTCCTTCTCTATCCTTATAAAAGTTCTCATGCCCTTATACCTGCGCATAATGGATGCCAGGTTACCGCCATACAAGATTGGTTCTTTGCCATTTTGTGCGTTCCCTTGCTGATCCCCTGGAGATCTCTAGGAGATCATCTCCCATTTCCAAAGTGACTTATCTTTTTGAGAAATGAAAACGCTGCAAAATTGTACTGAGGATATACTACGCACTACTAACGACGAAATGGTCAGAACCTAACCCAGCTATTCCAAACAAGTTGTATATCATCGGACTCGCCTCAAAACGCTGACTTCAAATGCATGTTTCTGTCTGCCAAGCGAATCTGGAAGGACTTACAGTCTGCCCCAATCTGGATCAGGCCGAACCGTCGGCTGAATTTGCGCGCTTGCAGCGCTAGGGGATTGCGCTGCATACGCGCGCTGTCGCAGAGAGTGAAGAGATCGAAGGGAGAGCAGACTAGCTAGCCGCGAATGTGGCGCGAAACCCTCGCGGCGCGGACTCCCGCCATTCCGATTTTGGCTTGGTTAGGATTGGGGCACACTGTATAAGCGTTCAAAGTAAAAGATGTTTCGAAGCAAATATCGACGAGTATACTTTCTTCGAAGGCAGCCTGATGGCGAGGATTTACAGTGGCTGGAGAAGCACATTTACCAAAAACCTAAACAAGTATTTTTGAAACGTCTTTTATGGAACCTGCGCCACAGAACACGTCACAAATCGAATTAAAAGCTCATAATCCCTTCCAGATAGTCGCTTGGCAGATAATAAACAGCGATGATTATGACCAGCGTTTCAAGGCGAGTCCGATAATTATAGCATGTTTGGTATGGCTGGTTTAAAGGCAGTGGACAGGCAGAATGGACCCTTCTCGGATTTTGGTGGATTTGGGAAGTAGATCCCCCCCCCCCCAGTACACTGTAGCACGAAACCACCTGCCTTCATGGGCTAAGTCTTAGAAAATGCGCTTTAAAACTCCACAAGCCCTGCCCACTCAATGGAGATGGGGAGTTTTGAAGCGCTTTTTCCAGGAATTAACGCATGAATTGGCAGGTGGGGTTTGGGCTACAGTGTACTTGGGGGTGTACTTCCTAAAGTCACCAAAATCCAAGAAGGGTCCATTATGCCTGTCCACCGCCTTCAAGTTCTGACCATTTTCTCTCAAATACGTTTTCGACAGGAGAAATGGATGTGAAGATATTTCGAAGATATGTGTATTTCGATAATCCCTAGCTCGCGAGCAGTGGTTCATCGAACTCGATATCCTGAGATTTCAATTATTTCTACTACAAACATGTTTAGCAGTACAGAGTATAACCTCAGTACAATTTTACGGCATTTTATTGACTTCTCAGCAAGATAAAGGACCTGGAAAATGAGAGGTGATCCCCTGAGAATCCCCCGTAATGCTTAGGGGATCATACAAAAAAGCAAAAAACCACTCTTGCAGGCAGTAACCTGGCACCCACATGAGCAGGTATAAGGGTATGAGAACCTTTATGAGCAAGATAGAGAAGGAAGAAGAAAGAAATTTAGAGGAGCGAAATATGACGCATCCCCTCTCCCCTCCCAATCCCCTCCCCTCCCTAGCGGTGATTTACGTGCATACGTGTCTAAAACTTAATTCACAGAAATTATATAATGCTAATCAAGGAACTCACTATGTGATGGGACTTTTTCGTTCACTGTATTCGATATTGGGTCAAATAATTTGTAGTGCTTCTATTTCGCACAATGTGCTTACCTGACATTGTTTACGTGGCTGACAGCTGTCTAGCTGAAACTACTATCTCCTCGATTATAAACCCCTTCCCTCCCTAACGCAATACGATCCTTATGTGTAGCGTCATACACCACGCCTGAACCTAACTGAATTCACGAAGAGAACGATGTTACCTTTTCTTTGTTCTTTTTTATGTACGTGGAACGTACTTCAACCCTAGATCTTATGTAAGACCAGAAGCTACTAATTTACCATCTACCTGACATGGAACTATACGGGCATCTGAACGCGTCTGAGCTGATTATCTGAACCATCGGTCTGCTAACGTCTCCTGGCTTTCACTTCCCTCTCCCTCTTCCTTTCCCTTTCTTTCCTCTACTTTTTTACCGTTTCCATCTGCTGTTCCCTATCCCCGGGGCGAATGAATAGCACCAACAAAGAAAAACAGAAAACGGGAGAAAGAAAGCAGTGCAGTGACACCGAACTTCGATGAGAATGAAGCATTCTGTGAGTTTCGGGGGCTTTGCAATCGGAGCAGCTTGTGCCTAACACTGTCAGCTTTCATGAGAAAATCCGATACAGCCTTCTCTTTCTATCAGATGTTCTTTCTTCAGATTTGTGAAGTGGGGATAAAATCATCACGTTCACTTTTGAGCTCGCCCCAGGCTGTACCATGAAGAATCAGGATTTGATATTTCGCAAACGCTCAATCGCTTTGTAAAAGTGTTGAATTGTAATACAATCAAATTTTGAGAGTTTCAATTCCAAAGTAACCAAAAGCCCTTGTCTGTTTGTTTCTGCGATAAGTCATAGAAAAGCGAAAGAGTTTTCAAATGACTTAATGAGCTTTTTTACATCGAATTCAATGAAGTCAGGGCTCTGCTTGAGGTGGCTTTTCCACTTCGCCACAAAACTACAACATCCCCTATGACACATGAATGAAACAGACATAATTAACGAAGACGAATGCAACAGAACACAAAAACAACGTTGATAGACCATACAAATGACATTTCGTATTTTCCGAATCAGTGGCATGCTGTCTCCGCCCTGACCACTGTGCGCTGGAGCGGGACTGCCACGGCCATACAGATTTTTTGGAGGGCTGTAGCTAGGCAAAAAGGAGAGAATGCGAAGACATTTATCGCATTTGTAGCGTTTCTGATGTAGGCTGAAGCTGTAAGCATGTAGGAAAATCATGTGAAGGAAGTCAAACCGATTATTACGATGTTACCTGCTTTGAGCCAACTCAAGTGCTTTTCAGGTGGTTGGGAGCCACCCGATTCCGAATAAGTTTTGCCGCGCCTTCACTTCACATATGTCATTCATAATTTTCCATACATAGCTCCAATCCCTAGTGCGCATCTACGCATCATTTTTGGTATCGTGCCATTTCCTCCTCGGTTTGAACAAGCCTTTTGTTTACTTCAGGGCACATTTTTAGATTTCCGCATTTGCAGGGAGGGTATGTTGGACGGAGATTGCTGGTTTTGTACAGAACAGGATTTCTAAGGCAGCGATGAGCACTTGCGACGTCTTCATTTGATGAGGAGATTACGATGAAAGACCGATGGGGGTGATTGTGGGGGGGGGGAAGTTGGGAGTATGTACGTGCAAGGCTTATGTGAGAATAGCAATGGAATAAGTTTTTGAGGGGAAAGATGAAAATTTGTTGGGTCAGTGGGCGTAAAAATGGCAAATTCGTCGATTTTTCTACTCGTTTTTGTATGAAAATCAATTTTAGGTTGATTCGCGTGATCATAATTTGTAAAAAGAGTTTGCCACTTATATCTCGATTTTGCACGAAGGGAATGGTGGTTAATATATATACACAAATTGCTGATACATGATCGGCGAAAACGATGCTCTCTTTGCTTTTTGATTCCAAAACAATATCCATCTTGCCCCGTGAGCCATCCTATGGCAAGCTGGTTAGAGTTCCACGCACTATAAGCAGTCCTTGCTACATCACATGATGCACATGGAAAATACTGCTTGACAAACTAAGGAAGCTGCAATAATGAATCATCCTCTTTTAGAAAAATCAAGTACATGTTCCATGTCGTAACAAAGGATTATGTTATTCAAAAAGCTATCCAACTTTTGGTGTGCGTCTGATGATACTTTAATTTGAATCAGATTGCAAACAGTGAACAGTTTCAAAATCTTTCCAGTCATGGTTCACCTCAGTGCTTGCCTGTTAATGATTGTCGTAATAGCATGCGTGTTTCTATTCAGCAGAAGTGGTCGTTCAAACTCTTCAACCAGCATTGAAATTGTAACGCTTGGTTTTTTATATCCAACCAAATTGCGGACGCATCGAAATGGAGTTGTTCAGGAGAAAAGTAGCAGAAGTGGAGGAGATACTCCTCTTAAAATCCGCATTATTTACAACGATTGGCACCAGTGCATCAATGATATTTTGCTCCCAGTTATGGCTGATCCTAAAAAGGTGAGAAAACTGGCATAGATTATCATCTAGACTTTCTCGTACTTTTCTGTACACACAGACTCCTGCTGATTTCCTTTTTTCTTTAGGACCTAGAGGACTGAGTGCCGTATGAGGCGCAGCCATGACTTAGTCAGACTAGTATTCGACGGCTAGAACCCTGGAAACATCAGTTGATCAGAGTAATTTAGAATCAAAATACTGAATTAGCCCAGCAGTAATCTCCCTACCTGATAGCAGTGCCGCCAAGTTAGCATGCCTTCCGCTGTTGCCAGAACATCTTGAGCTCGATTGTTGATCACAGGCAGACCATCACAAGTCGCATCACCCGCTTAAAAGCAGCGTCACGACAAAAAGATGGGTACCGGGTTATTGTGGCGATGTTAAAGTAGACCCCCTACCTAGGCGATAACTGAAGCTCGGAGCGAAAGAAGGGGTCTACCACGCCTGAAGTTTGCACACAGTCATGAGCGCAGGGTCCCGCAACGACTCTGCGTCTCTACCTTGCATGCATCTTGCACTCGCCCGAGCCTACCGTAAGATTCGGGCCACTTGAGGGGCGATTTGTAGACTTCGTAGACCTCTTTCACGCTGCAAACTTCTATCGTCGCTTAGTTAGGGGGTCTACTATTACTTTACTACCAGAGCCAGGTACCTCAGTCTGGTGGGACGCTGCCTTTAAAATTCTGAGGCATCATACTGAAGCACGGACGCGCTAACCAATCGACCACATGTGCAGGCGCACCTCAAAAACAGCTGTAGAAGAAGGCGCAAGAAAGTGATGCCTGTGTGTGAGCATGATTAATGGTGTGTATGAGATTTTGAACGTTGCAAAACAGCTGACCCGAGGAACACACTAGCAAAAACGTTAATTGCAAGATTTTGGAGTAGATGGAGATCTACAATGTAGTGTCTAGAATCAATTGTGTTGTTGATTTAGTATATGCAGGAACACTTTTGAGAAGGGCATTGAAAGAAAAAATTTCTTTATCTTAACTGATTGGTTGCTGAGCCGTAAACAGCGTAATATTGCCGCATTAACCGAACTCACAGACGCCGTCAGCATCTCGACATGGAAGAGGCACGTCGGACTGCTGACGCCTTTTTCTTCAAGAGAGGGCACTAGTTTTCTTGTTTTTTGACCTGCAGGCAGCTGCACCGCTTTCAAGGTGCCAGCATATTACTTCGAGACGTTGACAGCAGCACCTTTCGCCTTTTTCGACATTTTTGTACAAGGGAGTTTACAAAATTTTAAAATTGCTGTGTAGGCTTCTTCAATACCTATTGACCTTTCCGACCAAACGTTCCAGTTTAAAAAGGCGTTGAAGGTTTCAAGAGAGGTCGTTTTCGCCAACCTCACATCGAGTTGACGACGGGGTGAAGAGAACTGTTGCCACTGCGGTGCATTACTGCCGGCCCTGGTGACCGACTTATTCCGGAAAATCGTTATATAACATCGCAAGCATTCATTTGCCTCTGCGACTAGGAAGTACACTGCATTGCTAGCCTCATCTTGGGTCACGCCTAAGTCTTTGGCCCGTCGTAAACCCCCATTCATCTCAGGTCACCTGAGATGAATGGGGGTTTACTACGGGCCGAAGACTTCAGAAAAACTTCCTCGGATGAACCTAATCTCGCCCACCTTCCCGTGCTTTAGGATAGCCAGTTCAACAGTCAGATGACTGTCTGGTCAAGTGTCACAGTCTGTTCACTGGAATGCCACTTATCCGAGTTTGAATTAGGGTGACAAGTGTGCAGAGATAGTGAAGAAGAAAATCAAACACTTTTTCCGTAAGTTGCTCGTGAGTAAGTTACGGGAAAATTTAGTCGACGTACTGCTGCGGTGAAAAACTCCCAAAATTGCACAAGGCAGCTTGAATAAAAGAGGATCAACGAATACCTGATTGCGGCGAGAAAAGTAAGAAAACAGGATTTCTTGGATTTCTTCCTTTTTTTCAGAGCTTGCTTACATTATGCCTTCAAGAACTGCTTGTAGCAAGGATTCTCATTTGCTCGGTGTTCCAAAATTTTCGTTTTTCGTGATATCTTTGTCAAAATAGGGTAGTTTTATTTCATCCATTCATTTGGTTGGCGATATCCTTGATAGCGATCGCCATCGATTTTTCTTGATAGCGTCCGCTATCAAAGATTGTCCAATGGCGCAAAAATCTTCCGCTAGCCAACTTCGAACCATAGTCTTACGCGTTGAAACCTACTTACATAGCCGCTCGACCAAACCTGCTCAAACGGTCTAGTTTTTGGGAACGCACAAGATCACTACGTCTAGAAAGCGATCCACATCCAAATCAATAGCTCGGATGCCAGACTGAGGCGGTCTACGTTCAACGCAGGTCCATCCCCAGCCGAGTTGCGCTGAATAGGGGTTTATTACGGTCCTTTTACTGGTGCCTCCACCGCCGGGGTTAGCCTCGTGATGTGGACATGCCTGTAAAATCATAATCTGCTACTTTCATATACGCTCTTTAGTGTCACCCCACATGTAAGCCTCCAGTGTGATATCTAAGGTCTGTTGCAGCACCCCTGTTTCCATGACTGGAATTGTACTCCTCCCGCATACCTGGTTAGCGCTCAAGGCCATAAGGGGGATAACGACTTGGTACAGTCGGTACTTAATTACCGAATTAGTCTGTCTTTAATTTGTCGCACGGAACTCTCGTTGAAGCCCACAGCTTCGTCAACGCTGTGCTCATCCTGCCTGCAACCCCTCATGTGAGTTTTCTTCCGCAGGGAGGTGACTGCCTAGGCAATTGTGTTGTTGTTTTCTAGCTCTTGCCATGGATGCTAATGGTTCCTTGGGTTTGTTCTCACTTCCATATATTCTGTTCCTGGTGCTGAGCTTCAGGGCATACAACTTTAGCATGGTTTTTGATTTTGTACCCGCCTTGCAGCTCCTTTCTAATACTGCTATCAAGACCACATTATCTGCGTAGAAGAGTGCCCAAGAAGGTTCACTCTCAAGTGTTTCATCATGAGCTCACCTCTAGATGACGAGTAGGTAAGAGAGAATTGAGCCTTGGTGTACTCCAACCCTGATTTGAACTATTTCGATTGGCCTGCAGCTTGTACGTTGCTTGAAGTGTTGTGGTATAGTCTCATCCACTGAGTGTGCTCTCTGGCACAACGCGTTTTTGCAAAGCTCACCGCGTTTTTATGAGGCAATCAAAGGCTTTCTCCACGACCACGAAAGCTGCATGCAATCCCCTCTGTTTTTCTTTGAAGTTCTACAATACTACAACAGAGTGGATGGCATCGGTGCGCCTATTCCTTTCACAATTCGCTGATTAGGTGGCAACTCTATAATAGCTCGAAGCCGCGTTCTTTCGGAGTGACCCATCAGTCAGATTGTTGGTAGGATGCACGACCTGCTATCCCTCCTTTCTTCTTCTATATCGGAATTGTTATGCTAATAAGCAGTCGCGAAATCTACTCTTATCATTACGATTTGATTAAGACTTATAAGAAACCAGTGCGTCACCTCTGCTTCGCAGAGGCTCGCACTGGCCCTACTTTATCCATGCCTTACTCTTTCCCGCATAATAATTACATTGAATCTCACCGCGCTGGTTAGACTATTACGAATGATTCGTCAACAACTACTCATTCCTAGAGGTTTTTCGTGTGAGATCGGTATTTTCGCGTGGATGAAATCTTTCCCAGAAGAACAAATGCAAATTTGAATAGATTTCTGGAATTTCCATGGCTTCGTAGTCACCATAAGAACAGCAAACATCGTGGGCTACATCTCTGTGCAAAAATCTTCTCAAATGATCAGGTAAAATCCTGAAAAATTGACCGTTTACACAGCCAATGCTTTTTGGCGCTGTTTTCGTAAATTAGTAGACTTTTCATCACTTTTTTAGGCTAACGTCTATCGCTTGCACGTCAACTTGTCGAATATATCCATAACTCTGCAAAAAATAGTACTACGGATCTAAATTTGCTGGTCAGAAACCAAGTGGGTCCGTTTGACGCGCAATTTTCAACGGATCCACTCAACGGATCCGCTCGTGCTTTTGCATGTTGGATTTTCTTGCGGGTAGCATGCGCTGTGCGAAATTTGGGCCCAGGAGGTTGGCTGGAGCACGCTCTACGAATTTCGTAACAGACACACTCTCACACAGACAGACACACAAAGTCACGTAAACATCCTTAGCCCGTTATTATAAGTTATGATGGGCTCTAAGAACGCTTTCCGGAACCCGCTTAATACGTCGCATCTGGACTAGTTGCTTTGCCACTCTTCATTTTTCTTGAAGCTAGGCATAGCTTCTTCTCCGTGATTGCTGGCACTAATCCTTCCATGGGATCAGTTTCTGGAATGGAGCTAGCGGTGCGGCTTGTGGTGGCCATTTTTTCAAAGGTAGGTCCCCTATCTTTCGGTTATACTTCTCTTTCCTGGCGTATTCGTATTCGGCCTGTTCTTAAAATGGAAAAAAATGCTCAATATTTTTTGTAGGCTCCGCCCTTCATTTGCTATCATTATATTCCAAGGTTCCCTTCACGATACTCCGGTTTTTTTGTAGGAATTTTTCACGTACATGTACTCTGCCTTCGTTACAGACCCTTGTCAGTGTGTTTGGCTTGTCAGCATGCCTGGCGATCGTCCTTTCCATATCATGGCATCGTTTGTACCCCTTCTCTCCTCTTTACATTTCGTCATTCCACATCACGTTTCTCCACCGATCTTTCTCTCACTTAATGAACCCTACCTTTCAAGCTTACCCGGGATTCCTCTGGGTTCCCTTGCAAGGTTAGGAGAGGCTAGCAGCGTTTGCTCTAAAGCGCTGTTGCTTTCAAGCTCCACCATTTGTGCGCGTCCATCTTTGTAGCTCTCTTGATATGCCTATCCTATCCATTAATTGATATTCGAGTTGACATGCTCCACATCATGAATCACGTCGGAAGCCGTTTTACCATCGCGCACGTCGCGCGTGACTTTTGACCCTCACAAAAATCCTTCGGTGCTAAAGTGGCGAGGTGGG